TGTTTGCAACCTTCAAGGCACAAGCCAAACGTCACCTCTTCCATGAAGCCTTCCTTGGTTTACCATACCTATCCCAGAAGCACCTTCTGTCTCCAAATTCTCAAAATGTTTATTCAATCCCTCCTGTAAGCTAGAGCTATTTAAGGGTCCAGCTGACACCTTATTTGTCCCTGTACCCTACTCTGCATCTAACACATTATTACTAAATGAATGAATGAATGAATGAGCAAATGAGCCAATAAGTGAATGCTACCTACCCATAATCGAGCCCTCAGCCCAACATTTCTCCAATCTAGTCCTGTCCTCTTACATGGCACTCTACCATCCTGCCATCCACAGCAAACCTTGTATCCCAGCTGAGCCTCCCTACTCTGCCTCCTGGCTGTCCCTCCCCCAGGACACACCCAGGCCACCTCCCCAGGTGTGTGATGAGGAATGCAAACTTATTATTGACCTAACCCACACAGAAGTAAATCTGCTGCAGGAAAAGAAAACAGGATTAGGAACCTACCTTCTATATAAGGCATGCCAAAGCCAAATAAAAGACCTTGGTATTACTCACTGCCGTGGCCCTCCTAACAGAAACCTCTATCATCCACTCATTCGGCTCAGCCTAAGAAAGGAGTCTAGACGGGAGCCAGGAGGCCTGGGTTCAAATCCCTATAGGTACACGTCATTTCTCATCTAGGCCCCCGCCTCCTCCTCGCAAAAACACTCGCATTACCCACATCATTTTGAAGGTTAGCTTGTTCTTATCTGCTATAGATCTAAGACCTCTAGCTGTTCTAAAGGGTCTTACCAGGAACTGAGAGCCTTTCCAACTCATCCTGCCCTCCTCCCTCCCACCTCAACAGAATCATCACTCCCCCACCCCTTCCAAGACAGAATGCGGACTCAGCCTCCACCCCTCTCACTGCCCTCCCTGCCACCCGGCTCCACCCTGCACCCACAGGCACCTACCTGGCTCAGAGCCAGCAGATACCAGCTCCTCCTCCATCTCCCGGGGTGGTGGGGAAGCCATGGCTGTGCCTTCCCTGAGAACAGACACTTTCATCACATTCGGCAGAACCTGCATGAGAATTGAGAAGCGGAGGGTGTGAGTAGGGGCAGCCAAGACCCGGGAAATCCGAGGGAGAAGGCGAGAGGGTTGGGCGTTGGCAGCTGGCTTGGCCAAGGGAAGCCTGCTACTTCTAGCAGAGGCAGAGTGTGGGACAGGAAGAGGGAACTTCAGAGCGGGTGGGAGGTCAAGGGAGGCCCCCAGCAGTCCATCCTCAACTCTTCCCAGATCATTCTCTAATTCTGGTCTCCTCACCACAAAGTCCTGGAGCTTCAGGGAGCTACCTACTCTTCCCTCCCCTGCTGAGCTCTCCAAGACACCCCACTTACTGTTCCCAAGCCCCCCTCAGGTGCAGCAGCCTGCTCGAGGTATCTACTCAGGGGCAGAGCGAGAGGGCCCCAGAGTCTGAAGCCTCTTCGTGAATCACTTCATGGGAGACGGGAAAAACCCGCTCCTCCCCGACCTGGGGCTCCACCCCACAGCCTGCCTTCCCTTTCCCGCTCACCCTCCTTCCCTCCCTCCCGCCTGCAGCTGGGAGTGGTTCCCTCTCCCCCCTTCCTCCTCCTCCGTCCACATCCCTGCCCCAATCCCGCCTCGCTCAGAGCTGTCTCATCCAAACACGGAAAAATAAGGAATAAGAAGTAAACATCTGGAATACATTTTTTTCTTTAATTTCTCAATTGCTTTGGCTTCAGCACGGAATTTGATGAGGTAAAAGCCAGGGCCTAGTCCTGTTGCCATAGCAATGGCCTCCCACTGGATTTCCAGAGCCGTGCCAAGAGGAAGGAGGAGCCGGCCCAGGCTGGGCTGGGAGAATGGGACAGGGCTTGAGAACATCCGGTGGCGGGGTGGCCTGGGGGAGAGGGGGGCAAGACTCCTGGGGTTTCCCCTTCTAGGACAGTCAGGGTAGGACAGCCACAGCCTAAGCACTGGTGATACTTGGGTGGCCCTCGCTGGCCTAGGATGGGCCTGAGGGGTTGTGAGGGGCAGAAGAAAATTTTAAACCCAGTGGCACAGCCCTAGAGGAGTCACTGGGGTCCCTCCTCTAAGCCTGAACCAGGAGGGAGATTGGGGTCTGATTCAATGCTGGGTGGGTCTACCCCCTTCTAGCTGTGTGCCCTCAGGCACAGTGCTTACCTCTCTAAGCCTTGGTTTGCCCAGGTGAGAAGTGGAGTCAGTGTGACTGCTGGGAGACTTACCGGGAAATGATGCATGCAAACTGCTTAGCATGATGCCTAGCACATAATACGTGCCCAATAAATGGTGGCCATTATGAATACAGTTCCATTCAGTGTCGCCAATGAGCTAACATCCTTGGCAACCACCTCCTCCTCTCCCCAGACCATGCCTTCACTCCCACAGGGCCCAGTCATGTCACCTGCTCTTCAGACACTCCACCACCTCCTCAGTTCTCATCCTGGCTCCTGAAGCACCATCCCACCCACAACACCCCCCACCCCCACCCCAGGCTCTCCAGCCTGGGGGACAGAGTGCTCCTCCCTCTAGTTCCAAAGGAAGGGGGATGTTTCCTAACACGTGGTACGCACAGAGCCCCTGATGAAAAACCTAACCCCCTCCAAATGGCAATGGGCACAGCCTTCCTCAGAGTCACCCACTCCTAGTCAGGGAAGACAGTGCCGCCCAATCCAAAGAAGGGCCCTCTAATGCCCAACATTTGCAAAACCTACCCACCCCTCACCTCTGACCCTGCCCCAGCTTGTTTCAAAGATGGGAGGGAGCAGAGAGAAGAGGATAGAGAGAAACCCAAGACTGTCCATTCCCTTGGTCAGCCAACTTGCAGGGCACACTGCTCACTATGGGTGGGTGAATAACTGTGCAGAGCCAGGCCAAGGGTGCATGGGGGAGGGGCCCATGATAGGGAAAATAAAATTAAAACACAAGACTGTTTCCTTGTCCTTGAACATTATTACATGGAACATGGTGTGGGTGATTAGAAATGGAGACACACTGGCCCAGCACCGAAAAACGCTTCCACCTGGGGGCCTGAGGGACCCCTCTGCAGTATGAGGGCCAAGCAATGAAGCAGGGCTCGGCTTCCCCCGCCGAGGGGATCCCACCGCAGCTCACAGGCCCCAGTCAGGAAACCCAGGTGCCAAGCCCTGGCTGCAGAATCACAGCGGCTCTGAGCACTCCCCACCCCAGGAATCGGGGGCTGCAAGGGCTGGGGAGAGGTCGGGCAGTTCCAGCCGGGGCAGGGGCCCAAAGGGACTTCGGCGCAAGCGGGGTCGCCCCTCTGGACCCGAGGATCTCTGCCCGGACCCGGACCCAGAGAGGTCGGCAGGGATGCCACACGAACTGCTGGAGGAGGGAGGGCCAACGGAAGACGGAACAGCCAGGGTGAGGGGCCGTCTGGAGAGGCCCAGTGGGAAAGCTGGGGACAGAGGGGACGGCAGCAGCCGAGGAGGAGGAGGGGAGGAGGGGGGC